AGCAGATCCTGCTGAGAGTCTCAGCAAGTCCCTGGTCCCCATTCCATGCCCTCCCCCCCGCTCACTACAGCTGCGTGGGGAGACAGATACGTCTCTGCCCATTGGGCTTGAAAGTTTCTGAAGGAGAAGAGGAGCCATTAGCAGCCCTGCAGGAAGCGGGGCGCTTTGTTCCTGACGCACCGCTCAGCATCAGTAGTGGAAGGACCCAGGAAGGGAGGGGAGAGCTGAATTCAAAGCTGCTCGGGGGAAATGTTATTTTTCTCTCAGTAGGAGAGAGGGGAAAGGCGGCTGTCTGCAAACGGGGACAGAACTCACCGGCTCCTAATCTGGGCCATCAGCCTCCCGGCGCACGTCGGCTCTCACTGACCTACCCCAGCGCCAGGCAGAGTCACCTCGGCAGTGACACAGGGACAGAGATGAGAGGTGCGGTGGCCGATGGCAGGTGGGACCCCAGGGACCAAGTCTAGATACCCAAGCACTTCTACATGCCCCGTTACGGTTGGATCGCAACCCCCCTTTCAGGCCATAATGCGTTTATTTTCACATCCCATGGTGAGGCAGGGCAGTCCTACTATCTGCAATGTATAGATGGGAAACCGAGGCACGGGGCGGCTGACTGTCTTGCCCAAGGTCACACAGGCCGACGTCCTCATGACGCCTTGTCTATTCCGAGCTCGGACATGCTGCTTTGCTCGAACAAGTCGCTGCTTTGCTCTCCCTCCTCTTCCTGGTCTGTCTAGCCTACGTACGCCGGAAGGACTTCAGGCTCTGTGTTTATACCTAGGTTCCCCTCCCCCGCATCCGCGCTGGGGCTTCAAGGATAAAAAACGAGGACTAAGGTGCCTCAGGCAGTGTAGAAAGCAATATTTGCATTTCCAGCGTGCTCCGAGCCCTCTCCCAGGGGACTGACGGCTGCACGTCGGGTTCTGCACGCTGCCCGTCTGCGGCAGATCAAGGCTGAAATGTTTCACTAACTCCCTGCAGTACTAGAACTAATCACCGGCGTTTCCCAGCAAAGCCTCATTTTCATCTTAACACGAGCCCATCTGCGCCCGCACACGCCGCGTTCTGCTGGGGAGACGCAAAGCTCGGATCCCGCCAGCGGAACGGACGCTGGGACCACGCGGGCTGGGGGGAACCAGAGCCTTGAATGAACAGCCTCGTTACAGCCGAGCCGAGCTCCAGCCAAAGCCAGAGCAGCCAAGGGGTGTCTGCCCACTGATTTCCAGGGGCCTTGGTCAAACGAGAGCACATTCTGTGGCTTAGACCCTAACCAAGGCGGGGCCGTGGCCCATTCGGTACTGTGCCCTTGGGCAGCCACCCAGGAGAGATTCAAATGCCACCCATCTGACTGGCAGAGCCTGTGTTTCTACTGTTGGTGCACATCCCCCGGTGCACGCCAAATTTATTCTGCACATGATGGAAAAAAATAAGAGGGTTCACCAATGGGAAGCCTCGATTCCCCTCCCCCCAAAAGCTGCCTGGCTTGCCACAGCTGGCATCCGAAGACAGGCAGTGCAGCCCTTCTGAGTTGCCATCTCCCCCCTCAGGAAGCCTTTGGAGCAGGCAGCTTGGACCCGGAGCCCTCCCTGACCCCAAGGAGCCCTGCTTTGGACACTTCACCCGTGGGCACGTTCAAAGGGGCCGGGGTGGGTGTGAGCCTGAGCGCCAGCTTCTCCCGCCTGCTCCTCCCGGGCGCTCGTGAGAGTGAGCTCGGTATGTCGGGGCCTGCAAGCAGACGCCCCCTCGGCAGGGCGTGGCATAGCAGGCTCCCTTCTTCCAGGGCTGACAGCCACTCTGGCCCAGTAGGGGTCTCCCTCTTCTTGGGACATGGCCCTGTGGGCAGGTTGCTTTTACCTCCAGCCTTAGTTCTGGGGTAACCAAGTCCCGCAAACTAGAGTCCAGTCAGGGCCCTGACTGCAGGTTTTCAGCCCCACACTGGGCCTTCAGCCCCCACCTCAGGGCTTCCAAAGTTCTTACCTCAGGGCTCTGCACCCCCTTCCCCTCAGCTGGTGGGGTAACCCCAGCGCTCCCTCCCCTCTGAGTTCCAGCTCAGAGCCCCTACCATGAGCAGGCAAGGCCTGTCAGGTCCAAGCCACCCCCTGCAGGCTTCTTCCCCCCTCAGGCTGCCAGGCCTTTCCCACAGCCCCTTCCAGCCCCCACCTTGCACCTGCATTCTCCTCAGGCACCAGGATTTCTCCCGCTCTCGGTTCTCTCAGTGCTGGGGTCACAGGGCTCTCCAGTGGAGCCCCCCAGCGAGTCCCAAATGCCAATACAGACTTAACCCTCTCCTGGCCTCCTTTGCACCATTCCTCACTCGAGCACCTTCCTGGAGGCCTAGGGCCGGCCCTTTGGCCAGGGCTCACTGGCAGAACTAGCCACTCACCCGGCTGCTTCTCCCCTGCTCCTAGCTCCCTGGAAGAGAATTCGCTGCTCCAGATCTTCCCCCAGGTGTCCTCTTCAACCTAGTTTCCTGCCTGCTGCTCAGAGCGGAATTGAAGCGTTACCTCTGCCTCCAGCTGGGACTCAGTGTCATTGGGCCTGGCCCACCCACCCTGTGTCTCCGCTAATTAACCTCCCAGGGCTCCCCTTAACCTTTTCAAAGCCAGCACGAGGCCTATGCCCCAGCACGGCGCTTCAGGCCCCCCTCAGGACCATGGCGGTGATGGCCCTGCCCTACCTGCCACAGGGTTCTGAGGATGAAGCGGTGGTGGGCTATTTGCGGCCCGAGGGCCACGTGCAGCCCGTCGGGGTTCTCAGTGCGGCCCACGAGACACGTCGACTGTTGCCCACGCGCGGGGTTGCCAGACTTTGCTGGTTTCCAGCCACGTAGTTTGGTTCCTGCGGGGGTTACTCGCGTGACGCTCTCATAAAGCCAGGGGACGTGAAGCGAGGGGCACCCAACGCTATCTGCCAGAGCCGTGCGTGCCCCCCGTGGCCAATCCCGGCGCTGCTACGGTTCAGTCGGCACCACCCGCCAATTCTTGGTACTCAACCGCAGGGAGCAAAACTGCCCCGTCCCGGGAGACCATCTCGGTTAGGACAATCCTGCGGCCCACGGAGAGGAGGGAGGCCGCTCACGAGCCGAGGTTGCCCACTGCTGGCATGATCTCCGTGACTGCGGACGCTCAGATACGACGGGAGGGGTCCAGACAAGCACCCACGGGAGACAGCCGGGGAGGTTCAGATCCCTGACAAACGGGGCTGGGTCAGACCCTGGGATCCCAGCGCCACCAAGCACAGCGGGAGCTCAAGCCTGAAGCCTGCTCAGGACCTTCTGTCACTTTAGAAACAGCCTGCGGGGCATGCGACGGGGGATGTTCCTCAGCCCCGTCTCCCGTGGGGCGGCCAGAGCTGGGACTCCCTCTGCCCAGACTCACGCAGGGAGGTCTCTTTAAAATGGGCCATTGAGCCGAGCCTGCCGCTTGGGGAGTGTGGGCCTGATCCTGCTGCTTGTGCAGGGTGGGCCTGATCCTGCTGCTTGTGCAGGGTGGGCCTGATCCTGCTGCTTGTGCAGGGTGGGCCTGATCCTGCTGCTTGTGCAGGGTGGGCCTGATCCTGCTGCTTGTGCAGGGTGGGCCTGATCCTGCTGCTTGTGCAGGGTGGGCCTGATCCTGCTGCTTGTGCAGGGTGGGCCTGATCCTGCTGCTTGTGCAGGGTGGGCCTGATCCTGCTGCTTGTGCAGGGTGGGCCTGATCCTGCTGCTTGTGCAGGGTGGGCCTGATCCTGCTGCTTGTGCAGGGTGGGCCTGATCCTGCTGCTTGTGCAGGGTGGGCCTGATCCTGCTGCTTGTGCAGGGTGGGCCTGATCCTGCTGCTTGTGCAGGGTGGGCCTGATCCTGCTGCTTGTGCAGGGTGGGCCTGATCCTGCTGCTTGTGCAGGGTGGGCCTGATCCTGCTGCTTGTGCAGGGTGGGCCTGATCCTGCTGCTTGTGCAGGGTGGGCCTGATCCTGCTGCTTGTGCAGGGTGGGCCTGATCCTGTCATTGGGTCTGATCCTGCCGCTTGGGCGGGAGGAGGAAATGCCACAAATCAGCACGGTGACTCTCACTTTGCTTTGGCATAAACAGTACGACAAGGTGCACAAGAACCCAGCCTCCTGGATTTGCTTGTTTGCTGGAAGCTCAGAATGGGTGTAACCTGCTCACCGAAATCCCCCTCCCACCCCCTGCAAGCTTAGGCTGCTCCCTGACCTCTGCATCTGCCCCGACCCCCAAGTGAGGGCAGAACCGGGGCCAGCTGCTTTCCAGGGGTCACTTTTAGAGAATTATCGCCATGAACGAAAACCATCGGGAGCCGGCAAAGGAGCCAGCGCGGGAGCTCCCTGGGCTCGCCATGGCATGGCTGTCTCCTCCCCCCCCGCTCCAACTTCATCACCCCCAGCCCTGGGGTCTGTCGTCATGCCTGTTGTGTTTTCAGGCCAGTCCAAGGCCTGATCTTGTGTGAGCGTCTCCTGGGACAATCCATTGGTCAGGGCAGAAGGGAGCCCCCCTCCCCGCAAGGCAGGGACTTGGGGGCTGATTCTGCTCCCGTTCATCCTAGCCATGCTGGGCCCCTGGGCTGGGGGTGAGGAAGGGGCAGGGCCTCGGGCAGAAGAGGTGGGGAGAGGGGGCAGCTAGTTCTCTGCACTGTCCAGAGCACGCCTTCCCCGCTTCCCCCGCAGCATGGCATTCCGTCCGCGATTTAAAGGGCCCGGGGCTTCGGCCACCACCACTGCTGCAGAAGTAGCCCCTTTGAATCACCAGGCCCCAGGGCAACTTCCACCTTTGCCCCTCCCGCCCACCTCAGCAGGCCTGCCCCTGATGGAAATCAGGCCCAGCTCGGGAGAAGGCCGTAGGGGGCAGTCAGGCGCCGTGGCTGCACAGAGGGAGGCCAATCCAGGGTGCTGTATCCGTAGCAATCATCTCCCACCAGAAATAATCTCTTAGGGTGGCTCCCATGCATGCATCCCCCCCGCCCCCCGGCCCAGCAATCTCGGGACCGCCCGCAGGGGGATTCTTACTGTCTTTCCTGTAGTAGAGGATCTCCAGCTTGCACTCCTCGGACCCCAGCAAGGCCTGGCTCAGCTGCGCGATGGAGTTCTTGGTGGTCTCGGGCCCGGTGAGGAAGTCGCAGGTGCAGGGGCGCTGCATGACCTCCACCCGGGAGTAGCCGAACATCTCGCAGAAGCCGTCGTTGCAGTAGATGATGGCGCAGTTCTCCATCTGGGCATTGGCGATGAGGAACTTGCGGTCTGCAACGACGTAGGGGGGCAGAGGGGTAGCATAAGGCGCCTGCCCAGCAAGCGAAGGCCCTAGCGGAGGCCCTGCCTTGCCGTCTCCTTGTTACCTGGTTGCCTGAGGGCCAGGCACTAAGGGTATGTCTACACTACCCCCCTAGTTCGAACTAGGGGGGTAATGTAGGCATACCGCACTTGCAAATGAATCCCGGGATTTGAATTTCCCGGGCTTCATTTGCATAAGCCGGCCGGCGCCATTTTTAAATGCCGGCTTGTTCGAACCCCGTGCCGCGCGGCTACACGCGGCACGGGCTAGATAGATCGGAATGGCTACATAGTTCGAACTATCTGTACACCTCGTTCCACGAGGCGTACAGATAGTTCGGAATAACTACATAGTTCGAACTATCTAGCCCATGCCGCGTGTAGCCGCGCGGCACGGGGTTCGAACAAGCCGTCTTTTAAAAATGGCGGAGCCGGCTTTATGCTAATGAAGCCCGGGAAATTCAAATCCCAGGCTTCATTAGCAAGTTCGGTATGCCTACATTACCCCCCCTAGTTCGAACTAGGGGGGTAGTGTAGACATACCCTGAGAGAGGCAACTGGGGGCAGTGGCTGAGTCGCAGGGGGTGTTGCTCAGAAAAGCCACGTTCTATTCCTGCTCCCTCCCATGACCTCTGGGGAGGGGGATTGTTCCCCCAGGGAACAGGGGAGGCCCCATCAGCTGTTACATTGGAACTAGACGGGCCCAAGCACAAGCACACACCCAAGGACTAACCGGGCATTTGCCCGGGGAAGGATTACATGATCTGAGGGGTCTTTGCGCCCCTCGGTCTCTGGGCCTGTCTCCCGACACGGGGCAAAGCAGGAGCGATTCTTGAAGCCGGCCAGTGTGTACAACGGGCATAAGCGAGACCACATCAGAGCCAGGAAGCCACTGACACGTTTCCCTCTGCTCTTTTTTCCTCCCGTGGCCTCCCTAGCTCTGCAGTTCCACCTCCTCTCTGGGGCTGCGGGCCTGCACACACTGGTGGGGGGCTAGTTCATCCCCCCCCCCACCTGACAGGGACGCTTCCCCAGCCTGACTGGCCCTTTTAAAAGTTTGCCCAAGTCCGGCATTGACTCTTGGCGAGTGCAGGGAGCCCAGCCGGGCCGAGACGACTCAGGCCCTGAGGCTGCTGCAGGCACAGGGAAGGTAACCTCAGCGGGTGTGTCTATGAACGTCCCTCGGCAGGGCTTCTGAATGAGCTACGGCACGTGCTCGGTGTGGGCAGGAAGAGTGAGCCTGCACTGAGCAGCTGGAGCGGGGAGTCAAGAAACCGAATCGGGCACCTAGCCCAGTGCTCCCAGGGGTAGCCCGACGGCCCCTGGCACATGCTTGGCTGACCTGCTCTTCAAAGCCTCCGATGACACAACCTCCCTAGGCAAGCTGGTCTAGTGCAGAACCACCCTGACCTCTGGCCAAGGGACAGCCAGGGCTCAGGGCAGCATTGGGGTGACTCAAGGTGCAGTGGGGGAGGCCTAGGTTGGATATTAGGAAAAACTATTTCCCTAGGAGGGTGGGGAAGCCCTGGGATGGGTTCCCTAGGGAGGGGGTGGAGTCTCCATCCCTAGAGGTTTTTAAGTCCTGGCTTGACAAAGCCCTGGCTGGGATGATTGAGTTGGGGCTGGACTCCATGACTCCTGAGGTCTCTTCCAGCCCTGGGATTCTCTGAGTCTACGACTCCACAGCAGGCAGTGGGGAAGGGAAGGGAAGGGGCTAGCCTGCTCCAGCAAGGAAGCTGCCTCCCTCCCCGTGTCCCCGTGGCTTGCGCTCTCCCGGGAGGCTGTCCTGCAAAGCTCAGGCCGATGACATGGTGGGATTAGAGCCGCATCTCATCTCCTGTCTTTAATGTAATCTAGCAATTTAGAGGCCGCGGCGCGTGGCTGCCGTGAAGCGCAGCTGCTCAGCCCAGCAGCGAGGGGGAAGTTTATGGCCAAATTCGGCTGCTGCTTCTGCCCCATTGAAATCTGAGGGGAAGCCAGGCCCGGGGGGTAATCGAGTGGGAAGTGCCCTTAGCAGGTGTGCGGGAACACGGCTCGCCCACGCACTGGCATCGCTTTGGCTGGAGCCGGAACCAGGTCTGAAACACAGAGAGGCAGCAGGGGGGCTAGCTATTAGTGCACTCCCTAATTAATCTCGCTCATTGCACAGGAGGGGCATCTGCAGCCTGTTTATTCCAGTTCTGCCGTTTGACTCCTTTCCCACCGTACACGGGGAATGCGCATTGGCAAAGAGCCCCACGCGCTCCTGCGACCCTCGACGCGCCCCACGCAGCTCCCAGCCCCCTGCCTGCCCAGTCTCACTGCCCTAGGACCTTTCCACGGAGAAGGCACGTTGCAAAAATTCATGAATGTGCAGCCCCGTCCGCGAGCTAGTGACGCGATACTAGTGTTACCCATTTTCAAGCCGGCTAACCTGAGGGACAGGCCTGGAACCCAGAATCCTGGTGGTGTTTTCTGCTCTACCCCCCTGCAGGACTCTGACCCCAGGCGCAGATCTAGACTCTTGCTCAGGGGATGAGATCACGCCACGTCGCCCGGTGTGGTGGCCAGCCACTCTCCGAAGCAGCCGGTTAGAATCGGTGGCCGGGCAGAAGCACTGGGAGAGGATTAGTTTTAGTGAGTCGGGGCTTAGAGCAGAGGTCGGGAGGGGAGTGGGCAGCTGGGGAGGTGGGCTGAGCAGAGAGGACAGAGGCTGTTGATTTTAACTAGGCGGGGCCGCTTTGCTTACAGGGGATTGGAATTAAACTCCTGGATTGTTTCCCGCAGCCACAGCAGGCCGTCGGGGAAATACAGTTCAGATCAGAATGGCGCGCTCCTGGCTTTCTCTGAAGGAGCATCCAGCCCCATGGAGGAGGGGGGAGAATCCATGGAGGAGACCCCACATAGAGAGAAGAGGGGTGCCGAATGGAAATGTTATTAGCTAGCAGCCTCCAGCCCAGTCCCCTCTCACTCACCCCAGCGGTTATCAGGGGGGGCTGCTGTAAAACTGGGGTGAGTGAGAAGCAGCCCGTGCCCCCAAGTTAAAGCACATGCCCCAGGCTCTGCAGAGTGAGGAATTAGCACCCAGCAGCGCCTGGCTCTCGGCTCCATGCCCAGTTCATCCCAGGGGGATGCCTGTTAGAAGGAGATGAAATCCTGCCTCCCACAAGGGGCTCAGGGATGGGCTGCTACAGCTGGGAGGAGAGCGAGCGAGCTTTTATTTTTGTGCACCTGTCACTTTAAGGGGTAGGCACAGCTGAGGAGGACTCGGGCATTGTTTCAAGAGGAAGATTTGTAGCAGCAGCAAGTTATCAAGTTCAGACTGGCCCGGCCACGGGTTTGGGAGCTGGCGGGGGAAGGGGGAGGTTGTCTGTTTGCTGATCAGCCAGTGCCTCCCCCCCACACACCAGCTGGCACTAGGGCTGGTGTCGTTGATTTAGGTGCCTAGACAAGGCAGGTTACCTGAACTTCCCAGTCCCAGGGGTGCCCCTTCCCTTCATTTAGCAACCACATAGGGAGGAAGGGAGCAAGTTGGTCCCCCCAGCAAACTCTGTCATGGGAGCCAGGCTGAGCCAGGCTGCTGGAGGGAGCCCGGGGTCCTAATTCTCTGGTGCCTTGCCACTGGCATGGAAAGTGATCCCTGCTCTAGTAACACTGGGCACCCACTGAGCATTGGGGCGAGTGGCCCCCTAGGGAGATTCAGGCCCCACAGCAGCTCCTCTTGAATCAGCTGCCTCCAGAGAACGGCTCTCTCTCCAAACCGTGAGAAGCAGAGACCTCCGCCACCTAGTCATTGTGTTAAGGGTTAAAACACAACCCACCCAGCCAAAATTCATGGCAAGGGATTATTTCCAGCAGCAGCAAATGGCAGCACTTTATCAGGGGAGGCTGCCTGGGAGCATCCGATGGTCTAAAGGCAAATAGCCGGGCAGCCCATTTCGCACAGCAACAAGCCCTTCTACCTGGCGTCTTCTAGCTCAACACTCTGCCCCCTAAATCACAAAGGCGTCACCCCCTCCCCCCAGCAGTTACATTTTAATCAGCTCCTGATCTCGGATATGGGAGAAAATCCAAGGTTACTCTGTTGGCTTCAGTGGAATCCCTCCAGAATTATGCTGGTGGAACTAAGATCAGAGTCCACCCCATTGGGTTTACAGTCTTGATTGAGGGCTTCTGGCCAGCAATATCAATCTGTCTCCATATGCTCCCTCTCTCTATCCATCCCCCTACACTCCCTCTCTCTGTCCGTCCATCCATCCTTCCCCTCTGTCTACCCATCCCCACACAGTCCATCCATCCATCTCCATACACCCCA